TCTCTCTATGTCATGGAGGAGCATATCTAGTCTACTAGGACGCCACTAAGGAGACAAAAAGGAGACAAAAAGGAGACAAAAAGGAGACATAAAAGGAGACACTTAATAAAAGGATATAATTGGCAAAAAGAGACAAAAAAAGGACACAAAATAATATTTTTATCGTCTCTCTATGTCATGGAGGAGCATATCTAGTCTACTAGGACGCCACTAAGGAGACAAAAAAGAGACAAAAAGGAGACAAAAAGGAGACATAAAAGGAGACAAAAAGGAGACACAAAAGGAGACAGTTAATAAAAGGATATAATTGGCAAAAAAAAAAGAAAAAAAAATAATATTTTTATTGTCTTTTTATGTCATGGAGGGGCATATCTAGTCTATTAGGATATCAATAAGGGGGAGACAAAAAGGAGACACAAAAAGGAGAGACAAAAAGGAGAGACAAAAAGGAGAGACAAAAAGGAGACACAAAAAGGAGAGACAAAAAGGAGACACAAAAAGGAGAGACAAAAAGGAGACAAAAAGGAGACATAAAAGGAGACAAAAAGGAGAAAGGAGACAAAAAGGAGACAAAAAGGAGACAAAAAGGAGACAAAAAGGAGACACAAAGGAGACACAAAAGGAGACAAAAAGGAGACACAAAAGGAGACAGTTAATAAAAGGAGACAATTGGTAAAAAAAGAGAAAAAAAAGACAAAAAATAAACATCTAATGGTCTCGTTATGTTATAATATATCTTATCTATTAGGGAGACAATAAGGAGACAAAAAGGAGACAAAAAAGAGACAAAAAAGAGACAAAAAAGAGACAAAAAGGAGAAAAAAGGGAGACAAAAAAGAGACAAAAGGAGACAGTTAATAAAAGGAGACACTTAGTAAGAAAAAAAAGGAGAAAAAAAAACATAATAATTATTTATCTATAAAAGGAGACAAAAAGGAGACACTTTTTATTTATTTATAATAAACAACACACACAATCTATTCATAAACCCTAAACCCTAAACCCTAAACCCTAATAAACCCCAAACCCTAAACCCTAATAAACCCCAAACCCTAAACCCTAATAAACCCTAATAAACCCTAATAAACCCTAATAAACCCTAATAAACCCAAGTAAACCCTAAACCCTAATAAACCCTAATAAACCCTAGAGCCTTACCAATCCTCCAGCAGCAATAGAGACAGAAGAATTGTCTCCTTGTGTATCTATACCCTTAATAGAACAACTGTCTCCTTCTATTGTTGGTCTTTGTTGTTTTTGTGTTGTCCCTCCTTCTACTATACGACGCTCTATACAAAACAAATATATATAAACCCTAAACCCTAAACCCTAAACCCTAAACCCTAAACCCTAAACCCTAAACCCTAAACCCTAAACCCCTAGACCACTAGTAAACCCTTATAAACCCTAATAAACCCTAAAAAACCCTTATAAACCCTAATAAACCCTAATACACCCGGTAATAAAATGTTTAGGGTCTCCTAGGGTCCCCCAAGAGTATCCCCCCTGTTCCCCTTCCTCTGCTGCTGCTGCTGTTGCTGCTGTTGCTGCTGCTGCTAGTTAATTACCTGCAGCAGCTTCTTCCTGCAGCAATTCAAGTTGTCTCTCTTGTTGTCTTGTTAAGGGTCTAGATGAATCAAAGTATTCTTGCTGCAGCAGCAAGGAAGGGTGTCTCCTTTCTCTTATTGTCTCCTCGCCATATACTGCTGCAGCAGCAGCAGCAAAATCTACCAATATTGGACACCTGCAGCAGCAACAGCAGCAGCAACAGCAGCAGCAGCAACAGCAACAGCAGGAAGAGATGTATATACATATAGAATAAACAGACTCGCAAAAAGAATGATGTTGCTGCTGCTATTGCTGCTGCTGCTGCTGCTGCTGTTGCTGCTGCTGATGATGTTTGTGTCTTTGTGCTGCAGCAGCAGATGCTTACTGAGAGTTGCTGTTGCTGTTGCTGCTGTTGCTGCTGCTGCTGTTTTGCGAAGAATTGCTGCTGTCTCCTCCATGCTTCTGCGGTGTATCCGCAGCTTCAACCCATAACCCTGGCAGCATTCTGCAGCAGCAGCAGCAACAGCAACAGCAGCAGCAGCAACAGCAGCAACAGCAGCAGGAACAGCAGCAGCAGCAAAGACACACACTATATCCCCACAATGAGCATCCGTGAACCAAACCATCAGCAGCAACAGAAGCACCACCACCAACAGCAGCAGCAGCAGCAGCAGCAAAAAAAAAACCATCAGCAGCAGCAACACAACAAAAAGCAGCAGCAACAGCAGCAGCAGCAGCAGCAGCAGCAGCAGCAGGTACCTGAATAATTCATATTTAGTTTTGTCTGATTTATCGCTGTTTCCTTCATAGTCACTACAACCATTTTCTTCATCTTCTTCGCTGCTGCTGCTGCCTGCTGCTGCTGCTGCTGCTGCTGCTTCTGCTGCTGCTGCTGCTGCTGCAGATGATGTTCCTGCTACTGTTGTACGCTGACGGAGATTCTTCATGCTGC